TTCAATAAATGTGACATACAGGTAATATATTGAAAGACAAATATCATAATTAGTGTATGTTTTAATCAATTCAAGATTAACCCACAACAGAATGTAAACAATGGGTAGATCTTTTTTTTTTTTTTTTTATCAAATCTGCTATTTGATTCATAAAGATCAGATATGATGGAGAATCCAGGAATGTAGCTCAGAAATAGAGTGCTTCCCTAGCATACACAAGACTCTGGATTGTATTCAAAGCACCACAGAAAGGTAGGAGGGGATATAAAATTTGAGAAATTCCCTGAAGATAGGAGTATTTTTTTTCCTTTGTGGTGGTAGGGATGTAATCTAGTGCCTTACACATGCTAGGCAAGACTCTGTCACTGAGCTACATCCCCAGGCCAGGAAAATCTTTCTTTTCATGGTTGGCCTCTTGGGTCACACTTGGATTCATACTAATGAGATGAATCAGGAAGGGGGCTAGTCACCAGAAAGATAAAAGTAAAACTTTAAGAAAGCAAAACCAAAGTTTAGTTGAGTTTTCTGAGTGACAAATACAGTGATGTGCTAGGAGGACTATGTGATCTGATTCCACAAGAAGACACAGAAGTGCCACACTCAGGACTCTCCCAGATCTCTAAGTCTTTTGGCTATTCCTAATCTGTGTCCTTTATAATAAAACTATAATGGTAAATAAATGGCTTGCCTAAACTCCATGAGTAGCCCTAGTAAATTATGGAACCCAAGGAGATTGTGGTATCTCCTAGAGCTTATGTTTGGTGTCTGTAGTGAAAGTAATCTTGTTGAAAACCATACCCTTAACTTGTGAGGTCTGAAGTAACATTGGGTAGTTAGAAACTACCTCTCCCTCAGTTAACCCATAGCTTTGTCATATTTTCCTCATCTATAAATGGAGATAACCACAGCATTTATACTTCTTAATACTTACTGTATATTTCTTAAAATGCATAAAACTCCTATAATAGTCCCTACCATATATTAAATACAAAGAGGCTCAGAGACAGTGCCCAGGCCCTGCATTCAAGCCTACAATTGACAAAAAAGAAAAGAAAACAAATTGGTCTAGAAATCAGAGAAGTCAAGTTTATTATTACATATATATATATGTCAAAGTTTATTTGAATTACTATTGTGTTTATTATTAAAATCCATGATGATTAATGTAGAGATTAGCAGACTATTCAGCAAAGATCTAAATAACACCGAGGAAAAAACACTGGTTTCCAACATGTTAGAAAATGCTAGCAACACTAATCACACAGACATGAGCCTGCTATTGTTTCAAACACAAGTGACCACTACTGATATCTACATCAGCTTGCTAAATTCAGGCCAGCCACTTGGAGCCAGTGCCAGAATATATTACATTTTTTTGGTAATTCTGGAAATTGTCACTCTAGAGAGATGAAGAGCCATTCTCTGAATAGTACAACAAGTTACTGGTAAGAACAGAACACAAGAAAACGCTTACTTTTAGTCTGTCAGATCACTGAATATAATACATGGTGAGCCAATCCTAGCAATACAAATGTATTACTTCTCCTATTTTAGCTGTGAACTACATTAATTACTATGTATTAAAATGTTTTTCTCTGCTAATGGGTAACGAGGATACTCACTTCCAAAAACTCTATTGCTAGGCGCTGGTGGCTCATGCCTGTAATCCTAGCTACTGGGGAGGCTGAGATCTGAGGATCACTGTTCAAAGCCAGCCCAGGCAGGAAAGTCTATGAGATACTTATCTTCCAATTAACCACTAGAAAACCAGAAGTGGCACTGTGGCTCAAGTAATAGAGAGCTTGCCTTGAATTGAAGAGCTGAGGCATAACATAACGCCCAGGCCCAGAGTTCAAGCCTCATGACCAACCAAAAAAAACCCCAAAAACTCTATTATATCCTACTTTCCTGTAATATACTGGAAGTATTCCAAATAGTTACTAAGTCTAGAAATAAAGTTCAGAAGATTGTCTGGAGTTGTTTCTAGTACTATGATTCAATCCCTCTATTTCTGCCTTCTCTTGGTAATTTCTCCTGCCAGTTGTTTTGCTGTGAGTTTCAGAAAAGGCCAGGAATGTTCTCCTTGCATTTTGCATTATATACTCCTACTTAGAAAGCCAAAACTAAATGATACTGATGAAAGATTTTCATGTCAGTGCTGATATAATTCCAAAGTGCATGTCACTGTTTCATCTTTTATCAGTAGCTTGAGATGCTCAGCAGCTATTAAAACAAAAAAAAAAAAAAAAAAACAAAAGCAAAAAAACAAAAAACAAGACCACCACAAGGAACTAGACTTCTGAAGATTTCCAAGAAGCTTTCTCCTCTAGCTTCCTCCTAAGTTCTCCTCCATTGATAAAATAGCTAACTAGAAGTACCACCCTGTCCATCCAGAACCAAATTAAACTACAAGTTTAATCTGCTGCTAATCTAATGCTCTCTGCCCACATTATACACAATCTCTACTAGATCTAAAATTCTAGAATTGTAGATATTTTAAATAAGATAAGAATTTAAATAAAAATAGAAACTGCCTCATTCCTACAAAAAATAATATTCTCTATCATCAGAGAAGTTCTTTGAACAAAGACAACCCAAGGCTCCTACCTGTAATCCTAGCTACTCCTGAGGCTGAGATAGGAAGATCAAGGTTTGAAACCTACCCAGGCAGAAAAGTCCCTAAGAGCCTCTTATCTCCAATTAACTACTCAAAAACTGGAAGTGGTGCTATAGCTCAAGTGGTAGAGCTCTAGCCTTGAGCACAAAGAGGCTCAGGGACAGTGCCCAGGCCCTGTGTTCAAGCCCCGCAACTGACAAAAAGAAAAGAAAAGAATAAGGACACAGGTTGACCTACTGCAACAATGAGATGTACAATACGCTATGCTGTATACAGCTGTGTAGTTGTGGAGATGGGAGGGAAGGGATGGTAGGGGAAAAACAGGAAGAAGCAACAATGCTTGATAAGAAATGTACTCATTACCTTGCTCATGTAATTGTAACCCCTCCTCTGTACCGTATTTTCACAATAAAAAACTTATTTAAAAAAAAAAGTGTTCGCTTCAGCAGCACATATACTAAAATTGGAACAATACAGAGAAGATTAGCATGGCCCCTGCACAAGGATGACACGCAAATTCGTGAAGCATTCCATATTTTTAAACCGTTTAAATAGGGATACAGTTGGACCCATTGCAACAATGAGATGTACAAGTCGTTATGTTGAAAAACGAACTTTACAACTTTGGCCGGGCGGGGGCGGGGCGGGGGGGGGGGGGGGGGCGGGGGACTGGGAAAGGATGGGAAGGGGAAACAAAGGAGGAGGAAACAATGCTTGATAAGAAATGCACTCATTACCTTGCCCATGTAATTGTAACCCCACTGTACGGTATTTTCACAATAAAAAAAATTTTTTAAAGAAAAGAAAACACATTGGTCTAGAAATCAGAGAACCCAAGTATAAGTTCTGGCTCCACTAAATGCATGGCAAAGAACAATCAATTTTATAAGCCAAAACTTAAATTTCCTTATCTAAAATTTAGGAAGGCTTCACACAATGATGCACGCCTGTCATGCCTGTTGTTTCAATTATTCAGGAGGCTGAGATGAGCCCAGGAATTTCACTAGTATAGGCAACATAGGGAAATTATCTTAATTTTAAAAAAAAAAAAGTTGGGTACTGGTGTCTCCCACCTAAAACTGTAACTACTCAAGAGCCTGAGAACTGGAGAACAAAGACTCAAAGCCAGTCTGAGCAGAAAAGTCCAAGAGACTCTATCACCAAAATAATAATAAAAAGTGAGGCTGGAAATATGGCTCAAGTAGTAGAGTACCAGCCAAACAAGAAAGTACAAGGCCCTGAGTTCAAATTCTAGTAATGGCAAAATAATAATAATTACTTAATTAAATATACAACAAAAATAAAATACAAGTAAGCCTGATGACCACTTATGTTTAACCTTTTTTAGCATCAGGGCCTGCACTACAAGTCCCTGGGAAGAGAATGCTTCCAATATTATTAATATCAAAGGAAGCTCTAACTATACATACAAGTGAGATGAAGTTAAAGTCCTGTTATTTTCCACTGTGTCAAGATGCTTATAATTAGGCCTTTGCTTTCACTCAAAACTCTGAAGAAAACACTCGTGCTTGCCTTAAGCAGAAAAGCTCAGGGACAGCACCCAGGCCCTAAGTTCAAGTCCCAGGACCAGCACAAAAAGAAAAAGAAAATGTTCTAGAGAAGGATAGTCATAGTTTGGCAGTTTTGACATGTGAAAAGGACCTAATGTTTTCACTAATAAAAGAAGCCAGTAGGCTGATGTGCCCACTGAAGGTACCAGCATCTAATCTAACTGTGTTAACAGATGTATGGTGTCCAGAACTGAGAAGTTGATAATCCAGTTCAACTGAGTTAGTTGATTATGTCAACTCTGTAAAAATAAAACTGCACTTAGGAGTCTGTGTCTAACTCCAGGAACTAAGAAAGATATTAACAAAGATGTTTACAGGCAGGGAACCAAGCCAAGAAAGAGACTGAGAACATGTTTTCTACAAAGAACTAGAGCTACTTAATTTAAAAAAGAGAAGACTCAGAAAAGAACTCATCATCCACCTAATCTCTGAATAATCTGGGACCACAGCAGAGCTGGCCCAAGGTGAGGGGCTACAGAAGAGAGGGGCTGCCTCAAGTTCCTCATCTCTGGAGATAATGCAGTAGAAGATAGATTCTATGAGGGGTGATGTGAGAAGAAAAACAGATAAGCTGGAATTCAAAAACCACTCTGAGAAAGAACAATTCCAATTCTGTTGGAAGGCCCTTCCCCCTTCCCAGCAGTGACTATAATCATTCTTATTCAGTGACTGCTCACTGAATCATTTCAATAATCAACTTTTTATTAAGGATTTTATGTTCATGTCCTTGTAAGACTAAGCTGTTATCCATCTTCTCCCTTCTCCAAACTTTCCAATAACTAGCACTGACACTGAAGCTGCCCGCCTATTACCTTCTGAGGACTTCCAAGCCTTCCACAGGTCCTCCACACTGATGAGCTTATCCTCACCATGGAAGGTGCTGTGCTTCACTGTTGGGTCATGGTAATTGAGGTCTTCCCTTAGGAACTGTAAGAAAAAGCACACAAGTCATAATAGCAATGTGGGAGTCACCCCACCAAAATCTCCACAGATCATCTGCCTCCAGATATCCATGCACATTTCACTTGACAAATGCATAACTGTATCATATCATTCATATATCTTTCCATATGTATTAGTTGCCAATAAGACCACACTTTCTTCTTTATTACATGTTTCATTTAAAAAATAGGAGGCCTACTTATAAGTAGGCTTAATAAATACGGCACAGTGGTGTACACCTGTAATCCCAACCACTCAAGAGACAGAGGCAGAGTGATTTAGTGTCCAAGGATACATGCACAAAAGGTAATAAAATTCTGTATCAGAAACCAAACTAACAAAACTGCTAGGGGAGTGGCTCAAATGGCAAAGAACTTGCTTAGCTTGAGGTAACCCACATAAGGCAATCTCCCACTTACTGTGGCTTAAGACAGTAATCCTAGCTATTTGGGAACCAGAGATCAGAAGATCATGGTTTAAGACCAGCCTTTTCAAAAAGAAGTTCTTGAGACTCCATCTCTATATCATGGTGTGCACCTATCATCTCAAGCAACAGGAAGAAGCACAAGCAGGAGGATGACAGGAGTGGTCCAGGCCAGCCCAGGCACAAAGTGAGATCTACCTAAAAAATAATGAATGGATAAAAGGGCTGGAGGAGTGGCTCAAGTGGTAGAGCACCTACCTAGCAAGCACAAGGCACTGAGTTCAATCCCCTACAGCTGAAATAAACAAATAAATTAGAAATTCTTTCTTCATGCATTTTTAATTAGAGAAAGATAAGTGATAATTGATTGGAATTCTAAAATGAGAGAAAGGAAGAAAAGGATGAACAATTTGGGGGTTCTTTACATACTAAGGACTTCCACAACATTTTCTCATCTAATCCTCAAAAACAATGAATTACCATACCTATTTAACAAATGAGACTAATATTCTCAGAAACAGCACTTTTCCCTAAGTCACATTGAGTTTAGATAAGTGAAATTATTTGTTGTGATTATTTTAAACATGCCCACAAATTCTTTGACAGTCCTTCAATTAAAGGTAGATGACCCTTACCTTGAAAATATAAGCTGTCATTAGTAACTAATTGCTGTGGTTTGGATAAGTATCTTTCAAGAGTCCATGTGGCATGGTCCCCAGGGTATCAATAGGAGACAGTGGAACTTTTGAGAAGTGGGCCTGGGAGATGTACTTAAATTGCTGAGGCATACAATGAAAGGTGTTTGCAGTATCCTACTGTCTTCTTCTTCCTTTTCTTATTGCTCTTTGGCTTGTAAGGGCTAAAGCAATGAAGCTACTGAATTTTAGTCTAGGACTTTTAGAACCACTGGCTAAAATAATTTCTCATTATGAGATAATTGCCTACAATAATAGAAAACTGAACAATATACTCATCTTTTAGCTAAGAGAAATGTGGCAACAGTGATGTTGCATGACTCCAAAGGTCAGAAAAGGCAATATGGATTCCACCTGGTTCTCCCAGGGACACATATACAGGATGGCAGCAACTGGAGCCCTGGCCGCAAACAAAGGCCTCACTCCTGGATTCCCATATCTACCTGGCAAAAACATGGCCAGAGCTGACTGCAGATGCCCCCTCTGAAGAGAGAGTATGGTCTCCTTTTCCAATGTTCCTACCACTCACAGGTGTAGGCAAGTATTCACACATATGTCTATGCCCTCAGAGGCATAGACTTTAGGATTCCTGCCATATAGGAAAGCATTCTGTTAAAGTTGGTTTTTTGTTTGTGTTTGTGTGTTTGTGTGTGTGCACGTGCACACACATGCATGCGCACATGTGTGTACCGGTCCTAGGGACTTGAAGTCATTGACTGAGCCCTGTCCCTGAGGTTTTTTAGGTTGTTATTGGTTTTTGGGTCCCCTCCTCACTGCTCAAGGCTAGTAACTCTACCACTTAGATTAACTGGAGATAAGAGCCTCATGGACTTTCCTGTCTGGGCTGGCTTCAAACTGCAATCCTCAGATCTCAACCTCCTGAGTAGCTAGGATTACAGATGTGCATCATCGGTGCCTGTCTTCTGTTAAAGTTTTAAAGCCCACCTCAAAGGTTAATTGTGGGGGCTAAGAAGGTGGCTCCGTGGTAGTGTTTGCCTTGCATGCATGAGGCCCTGGGTTCGATTCCTTAGCACCACATAAGCAGAAAAACCTGGAAGTGGCGCTGTGGCTCAGAGAGAGCTTGGCTTGAGATGAAGAGCTGAGGGTGAGCATCTAGGCCCCACAACCGACAAAAAAAAAAAAAAGTTAATTGTGATTCTTACTGGAGGAGGTCAAGAAAAGGACAGAAAAGAAAAAAAACGATTCTTGATAAAGAATGGTCTTTTCCATGCTCCCACAGCTTGTGGACATTCCTTTGTCAGTCAAGTTGTATGTCTATCTTCCCTAACAAACCATATACTTGCTGGTAGAAGCTCTCAGTTACCCCATCATAAACAAAGAGTACAGGAATGTTACATTGAACCAGAACTGTGATGCCCAACATATCTGACAGAAGCATTACCATATATCAGTCTGAACATGAACACTGCCCCACAGCCAGCTAATAACTAAAGTCTTATTTAAAACAAAGTTTAAAAGGAAAATGAAAACAAAACAGGCAGCTTTGGGCTTTTATAACACGGATTTACAGTTTTAGAACATGCAGCTCCTCTCTCAAGAAGGTCCAAAGAGGCTCCCTTAAAGTCTTGCCTTACCCAGTGGAATGCAGCATTGGCTAGAACGATAGCTCAATAGCTTGCCTAAGCTCCAAGGCACCAGCTGTCACTAGGTATATTTAGCCCAGAACACTGATCTCCCAGAGGCAGCACAAAGCATGCAACCCCATCCAGAGTAAATCAGCAGTAGTGAAGTTATGTGGGTGGGAGCAAAGACAAAAAGACTTCAATCCAGAATCCCCACAGAATTACCACAATACAGACTCAGCCAGCTCCTTTCAGGCACAAAGCCAGATCAACATCTCTCATTGGGTGCAAGGATCTAGGCAGCTCTACTAGGTTCTACCTTAGAACCCATGACTCCTCCTCTATTATCCAATCTTGCTACCTATCTTCCATTTCTTCCAAACCAAATCACCACCCCTACTCCTACTTCCCCTGCTTACAGCCTCTTCTCAGTATTTTAAGCCCACAAGTCTCATGCTTCATACTTTCCAATTTTTGTGCACTTCTTAAAACATCTAACAAGGTCTCACTTGTTCAATTTTGTTTTCTGAGACAGGGGCTTGCTCTGTAGTCTAGGCTGGCCTCAAATTCATGCTTCTCCTGCCTCAGCCTCCTCAGTGTTGGGATTATCCACATTCACTACCAAAGTTACATAAAGCTGAGATATGAATGTTTCAAGGGTGAAATAGATGTCTCCAGTGACATCAGAAACTATTGCTCAAAGGCTGGGAGAAGACATTTTCACTCACCTTTGAACATCTAAGTCTCACTTCTGCAATATAAACACTAGACCTACAATATGAACAGTAGAATGACCTTTATAACTAGACTAACTCATTTACTTAAAAGTTCATGGTAGCCAGGCAGTGGTAGTCCATGCCTATATTCCTAGCTACTCAAGAGGCTGAGATCTGAGAAACTGATTTCTAGAACAAGATTCAAGACCACGGCTGGGAAGGTGGCTCAGAGGTAGAGTGCTTGCCTTGCATGCATGAGGCCCTGGGTTCCATTCCTCAGCACCACATAAGCAGAAAAAGCCAGAAGTGGTGCTGTGGCTCAAGTGGTAGGGTGCTAGTCTTGAGCTGAAGAGCTGAGGGACAGCGCCCAAGCCCAGAGTTCAGGCCCCATGACTGGCAAAAAAAAAAAAAGATTCAAAACCAGCCAAGGAAAATAAATCTAACAGACTTATCTCCAACTAACCAGCAAAATCTGGAAATGGAGGCATGGTCCAAATGGCAGAACAAGAAAAAGGGAGCAGGCAGGGGGAAGATATCCAAACAAGCATGTAAGTCTCTGAGTTCAACTCCATTATCAACACACAGACACAGACACACACAGACACACAGACACACAGACACACAGACACACAGACACACACACACACACACACACACACACACACACACACACACACACACGGCTCCTACTACCTACTGGAGAATCTCTAGTTTCTTATCCTGGAATTCAGACTTCTTATAATGTGGGCCATTGACTTTCTTCTCCCTATCAGACTGAGAGCTTACATCAAAGAAGAGTTCAGAAAACTATGCCCATGACCAAATCCAGTTTGCCATTTGCTTTTATAAATCAAGTTTTATTGAAACATAGCCAGGCTTATTCATGATATATTATCTGTGGATAATGTCACACTACAAAGATAGACTTGAGTAAGTATGATCAAGATTCTATGGCCAGCAAGCCCTAAAATATTATCTGGCTCTACAAAAAAAAAAAGTTGCTAATTTTCTAACCTCAGCTCTAGACACATCAAACCATTTCAGGCTTTCTAAATAATACATGCACTTTTATATCTTCATATTTTTGCCAGTGGCCCAATCCTAGCAACTCAGGAGGCTGAGATTTGAGAATTCAGCTCAAAGATAGTCCAGGCAGGAACGTCCATGAGACTCTTATCTCCAAGTAACCACTCAAAAGCCATAGGGAAGGTATGGCCCAAGTAGTAGAGCACCAGCCTTGAGTGGAGAAGAGACAGTGCTGAAGCTCTGAATTCAGGCTCAAGTGCTGGCACACATACACACACAATCTTTGTATAAGGTGTCTGATATAAAATGTTTTCTTTTTGAAGGCCACTTTTTGCCTTTAAAGACTTTTTTAGACATCTCCCAGGTGAGTTCATTTCATTTTAGTTATTTGTTCCTTTAGTTCTCAGAATATCCATCTGTTTCTCCCATTATACTGAAATTACTAATTACCCCCTTCCTATTTTCCCTAAGCAACTTAAAAATAGAAACTGTATTTTATTTCTCACTTATCTATTCACCTATTTATCTTATAAATTCTCTG